GATGGAAATTATTTACTCATAACTCATAACTACAACAAAACATAAGACAAAAGAAAAGAAATTGTAATGTTGTATATGACGTTTAATGACGGTGTAAGAATATCCAATACCCCCATATTGTTTAGTCTAGTAGATAATTTTATATAGGATAAATGTGACAAACGAGCACACAGTCCACCTGATGTTAAGTGGTTGCTGTGGTCCATAAACATCTGCATCTATCCTCGATTACGAATCAAAATGCAGATGTGTTGTCACTTGTCACCCATGATAACTAAGATGGAATGCCTCGTTTCCAGTAAAAGGGGTCTCCGATTCTCTACATTTACCATACGAAACACAGCAGTATTAAGCTGCTATTTTACGCTAGTATTCTGTGAGAGCGTGGACCTTCCTCGGTCGAGCCGACCTATTCGTGCTGCAACTATACCAGTAATATTGCTGCATCATGGCTCTACCACTTCTAACAGGCGACAGAGGGAAAATAAAACAGGAGATGGACAACGGCATCCACCTGATAAGAACTCAAAATAATTAAAACTGCAGTTGCGTACCTGTCTGCCAACTGGCAACTATGGCAAATATCCTCCTTATAAGGCAAACTATAGAGGATGCCTATGTTCAGCGATGGACATTTAACAGACTGTAATGGTAAATAAATAAATATTATGTAAATAAATACATTCCCACCCACTCTTAAGTATTAGGTTAAGTTACAAAAAGCGTCTTTTGTTTCGGGACTTAAAATTGGTTAAAATAAAATCTGATATATAAAAATTTATAATCCTTTGTTCGTATTTTATGCGTTGCCATACCAGTCATCAGGGGTATGTTCCAAAATACAACCAGTACACTGGCCAATTCAAATGACGTCAAAAATAGACGCCATTCTGGTGATTCGTTATATCGAATGTGGTAGAATATGCCGTCAATTCATGACGTCATTTGCATTCGCCAGTATACTGGAAACATTTCGGAACATTTCCCAGATTGCGGTATAACTTTGTCAACATATCGCTTGCACTTCCTTGAAGGTTCTAAGTATAGTTGGACCTGGTAGGTAGCGCTATTGTAGAATCCAGATATCAACCGTGCGAAGCCGGGAAACATCGTTAGTAATATATAAAAATACCTCTAAGTCTTTTTTACTTAAGATATATTGATAAATGAACTTCGGTTGAAAATTCATTCATTAGTTACAGCCCATCAAAAAAAAGTTCTTGTATTGTGTAAGTATTGTAGAAAACCACTGCTTAACATAAATTCAATATACACAAAATTCTCGAATCTGCCTCTATTACTTCCTATATTTATATGAATAAAATTATATATACTCGTATCTTAGAATTCCCTTTAGTTAAAAACGAAAAATTTATATTATACCATTTATATTCTATCCCTATGCTACATCCTGACTCCTCCTTATATTCCACTATCCTTCCCGAACAAACCTACCTTGCCATGAGTACCACCAGACAGCAATACGTCGTTATGAGCTCACTGGACAAATGCAAAGACTTTGCAACGGAATCCAAAGTCTGCAGGGATCTTCTCATCTACAACATCAACACCAGACCTATATGCGAAGTTGTCATCCTAACAACAACGAGTCAACAAGTTCCTGAAGTTTGTGATATCACTACATTTTCAGCTCATATCAATACTTTTCAAGCTCTTAGAAACAACAACTGAATCTACATACTCCAACGCAAGACTCCGTATGCTTTAGAGTGCGAAAGCAAAACAACTCACGGCGAAATCTCTGGAGCAGGTATCATCACTCTAGAACAAGGATGTAAAATGTACACCGCGTTTGTTACACTCCTAGCTGAGGACACTAAAACGATCAACATCAGTCATCCTTTTAATTCTGTGGATATTGAACACATTTGCCTCCCAGAAGAAATTAAACTACAACAACCAGAACTTGCACCAATCCAGCTCAACAACATCCAACTCGACTCTCTTAACTCGGTTAGAGACCAAATAAAAATACATTCAAAATTACTTAAAGAAAATAAATCTACATTCTCAGAAAAACATGCAACACAATTTTCCATATTTGGTATGATTACTGGCATCATTATGCTAACATATTTTTGTTACAAATGTTACAAGTGCTTGCCATGGAATAACATGCCCATAAATCCACATGGCAACTGCATACAAATTTTTAATAACTGCTTTGACCGTTCTCGTCGCCAACAACACGTCGAAGTTCCCATGTCATCGATAAACACCACTGCTACAACATCCTGCATATCAGAAGACGAAGACGAAGCTGCTGACTACATTCAAAAATCGAGCAAAACCGCTCAAACTTTGTTCTAAGGGGGGACGTGTTATGTTATAGGTTCTATTATTGTGTTATATACTATTTACTTTATATTATAAGTCCTCTATACTCCTATATTGTTATTCTTATATTACTTATTTACTTTAAAACTAAATTACATTGTTTACCTAGAAACCAAACTAATTAGATTGTAATATTTAAATACTAATGTTTACTGTTCCAAAGTTTACCATTCTTAATTGTATCTTAGAATAAGTTAACGATAAACACAAACAAGCATAATGTTATTCCCTTATCTTTACCCCTACCTCCTAGCTTCCCACGATCCTACACTATATAAACCAAGTCCTTCGATCTCACAACACATAACCCTAATATTTTAAATGAACTCCAAATAGTTCAGAACCTCTTCTGTCGTTGAGCTGCGAACGCACCTTGGTACGTCCGTAATGCCGACCTTCATCGGGACTTAGAGCGCCCAACAATTCAACAATTTTTTAAAAAAACTCTCTGAGAACTTCTTCAAAGCCTCAGAGTCACACCCAAACTATTTAATTCGTGAGGCAGCTTCTTATGCAGCCCTCACCCCCTCTCTCTATCGTGTCCGCAGGCCGAGAAACTCTCTCTCGGACCCGCCTAATAAACTGTCAAACGACCTGAACTGTCTCCTGGCGGCTCAGGCCAACTCTAATTAAATTAAATTATTGTAATAACTAACATTAATTTGCCTTCGTAGGCACTCCCTCAGCGGCACTTAGCCGCCTGCGCCCTCTTTTCCCAAAAGAGGGTCGCTCATGATAAGGCACAATACAGCTTGATCAGCCGGCTGCCTGTCCCCAAAGGCGGTTTTTAGAGGGTATCACTTAGGGTCCCCGGTAGGACAGTGAGCCCCTCATAACCACGATAGACCGGCTATCGTGGTATGCGTAATGCATTTTCCGCCTCCCTACGTATAGGGTAACCCTTTAATTGCTTCGGGCGCAAAAAAAAAATCCCACAACACAATTCTATTTAGTAATAGTTGCAAAAATCATTACCGTCTTCAGTAACATCATGACAAAATACGAAATCAAGGATTTTAAAAGAAACACGATTACAGATTCCTTTGTAAGAAAGCTGGATATTTAACTTTTATAACTTGGTGGGGTTTTTCAAAACTTGAGTTATGGAGGAAATCGTTGAAATTTATTCTTTGTGGAAATCAATTTAAAAGTAGGTCACATGAAATATTTCATTGAAAGAAGTCATAAAATATATTACATATGCAAAATAAATCTGATGAAAGACAAATCAAAGACACTTTGAAGACGTTTTGATAACACATTTTGCCTACATTTATATTTTGATTACTTTGATTGAAATAGTTTTGCTATATCCTTATAATAAAATAAAAAGCCGTATATAATAATAAAGCCGTAAGAGGCGACGGAGGGAAACTGACACAGCAGGAAGTTACCCCCCCCCCCCCAATCAATCAAGACGACGTAAGGAAGTCCCGCTGGGTTTCTTGCTGGTTCTGCCCTGGAATTTATTTAGGAGATTTTTTTTCTCAAAAAGATTAGTAACATTAAAAAGAAATACTTTTAATAGGATTTCTTTATAATCTTTATTGAATAACAAAATTCTATTCTATTCTGTTACACCATCATTAAGATACCAACGATTATAATATATATTAGGGTTTTAAGTATGAAACTGCTGTTCCATATTGGAAATACAAACACAGTTTTTAAAAAATATTACCCTTATTATCTAAGCTTATTAAAATATACTTATATAAAACTCTCGGGGATCTGGACTCTACAAAGCCTAGTATTTTTTCCTTGCAGGAAATCGTTTAAATTGCCGAAAAATGGTAATCAGTTGAGCATAAACCTGACGGGTACGGAAAATTCAAATACAAATTTATTTATTCGTCAATGCAGGTATAGGAGACAGAACACATTATAGAGACAAAGAGTAGAATTATTACATGTAATTCTTATTGAAAGTAATTTTTTACTTTACCACTGGTTCGAAAAATAACCTCTGTCTTGAGAAGAACTAACAAGAACTTTATTTCAGCGGAACTTTTTTCCAAAGTAAATTATACAATAAAAAGATTGTACAAACTATTTACAAAGCTTATTTTACAAACAGCTTGGAAGTGACCACGTCATTTCCAGGGGTTTATTATGTATTCGTTTATATTATAATAACACTTTTTATACAGTTTTTGTTTAATAAAATATTTAGGCTTGATAATACAGTGACCTTGTAAATTTTCTGAGATTTTGTTGCAGTTGCGGTATACCGTATACATTGCACCATGAATGAACTGTGGAGTCGAGAAACTGATACCACTAGTTTGTGTGTCTGTGACGGCACGCCTTAATCGTTCCGTTTCAGAGAAGTAAATGATCGATCGCAATTCGCAACTACAAATCGTTTTGTGAGTGAGAGGCATTTTTGAAGCGATCAATCGTCACGATTTTCTTCATATTGATTAAAGCGACGAGTCGTACCGTATATTTGACCCTTGACGATGATAAGTTGGTTAGGTATAAAACAGAGTAATAAATGTATAAAAGTAATAAAACTTCGAGTTACATCACAACTTCCGAACATAAAGTACATTTGTGTCAAGTATACGTACACACCCTAATAGGCATATAGGAAAACCGTTACGTTTATTTAGTACTTTTAACTAGATAACTAGGCTTACCATGATTGAGGCGAAACTTGAGGTGTTTCTCGAGAACAGCGGGTTCGACCAGGACTGAGATTTCGTCGATAGAAAGAGCGGCACCGACCCGACACCTCGCGTCGGGGCATGACACTTCGTAGGCACCGTTGCATACTTCGAATTCGACGTAAGCTTTCATACACTGTAACAAGAAAAACTTTATATAAATTAAGGAGTATTTGTACTTAATCAAGATAGTATAAGACTATCCTGATATCCTAGGCCACCACAAGCCCAGCGAGACTCCGCTTCGCTGTCGACACTTTACGCATTTCAACCAAACTGTTTGCTTGATCGTTTGTTACGCGTATACCAATAAAAATAAATAATTTGCAGGTGTCTATCTTTCCATGCGATTACACATTGTAATCGGATTGAATCTTTGTGTCTTAAAGAGAACAGAGAATAGCGTTTGTTAACCTAAGTCTTTGCGTTTTAGCGACATTACACGTACCATCAGGTGGGATATTATAAGAAAAAGTTACTGCAAATGTACTGGCTCATAACAGAAAAAAGGCTAATGCTACTATCTTTCGTCGTAGTAGTGTTTTAAAGTGTAGCTCTTGGTTTTACAGCGGAGTATTTGTTTCGTATGATGAGGGTGACCACACACTTAAATAATGTAAAGTATTTCTTCGAAATAGGATTAACACCAGGATCATAATGACCTTTTGCTATTAGGTGGACTGCGTGTTGTCTCTCTTATCAATATATGCTCGTACCAAAAATTCGAAGCTGTATTTCAAATACGTTATATTACGTACAAAAATATTATTGCAAATTATCAAATAAAAAAATAAAATATCGCCTTTCTGAATCTGGTAATACAAAAAACGCTGTGTCATCGATAAAGCCATCAAACTGAAAGCCATTTGATCACTATTGTATTACAAACAATAGGAATCGTGCGAGAGAGCCGATTATTACTAAGTACTAACGACATCGAGCTTTATCTAAACTAAAGAGAAAATCAAACAACAAATAAATAATGATGGTTTTGATTGCCATATGAAATAAATATGGAATATAATAAGTAAATCTGTAATACAATAGACGTGTATATTCCGTTTTCATGTTAGTGAATTTAAAGTTTTGCAGTCCTAAATGGAATTCCAATTATAAATAGTAAGGAGTAGACGAAAAATACTTTTTATAACGAAAAATAAATTTATACATGCTATCATTACTTTTTCATAGAAGAGGGGGCAGATGAGCATACGGCTAGCCTGATGGTAAGTGACTTCTGTTCCGCCAAAGAAGTCGTGGAATTAATTACGAAATAGTGGTGTCAGCACGGTGTAAGTAGTCGTAGTAGTAAGTCCGCCAATAAAATCACAGGCCGAGACATTCTGTCTTAGTTCCTCAGAAGTGACCACACATCTGTATTTTCTTTGTTCGAAGTTGGCTGCAAGCTGTCTACGAACTGCAGTACCGTGAGGTAGAGACAGGAGGAGACTGTAAGTTTGTTTGTCACTTAACTTTTATAAAAAAAATCTTCATAGTTACAAATTCACACAAAGGGACATAATTACAATTAATCTATTTATATTGTTACGAGCTTGAGGTTCGTGACAATAAAAATTGCCGATAAAATTACCTAAATTAACACTTTAATTTACTTTACACAAATTAAAACTAGAAACACTAATAATTAAACACACTAATTCACTTAATTCCGCTCCGAAGCTTCGCTTGTGTCGCCGAGTTCAACTCTGCCCGATCGCATCTTGCAGCGCCTACTTATATAAATTAGCAAAATATCCAGAATGTTCAAGTAAACACCCGCAAGGTACCGAGAGTTCGAGTTTTAAACTTCAAGAAGTTTAGTTCTTTGGTTCGAGACTAGATGGCGCTAGTGCGCCGATTTTAGCGCGTAACACTGCCCCCTCCTAAGACATGCTCGTCCCGAGCATTATCGGTCCCATAATAACGCGCTAGGCGATCCACATGGACGATCTTAGGAGTCCCTCTTGCGCCTTTCTGTAACGGCTCCGCAATGTCAAGGGCTGTTCTATCCCGTGGTGCACCAACATTGTACAGGTGCGCACGGCCGCACAACTTGTACATGTACGACACCAATCCTCGACATCGTCACGATAATGGACCCAGTAAAACTGTTCTCGGACCTTCAGTAGAGTTCGTTTAACTCCCAGATGGACTCTTGAACGACCATTATGGCACAGCTGTAGAACATTCGGCACTTTAGCTTTAGGGACAACCATTTGCAAACGACAGCTGTCCCTTCGACCGTTGTCCCATTTACGGCACAGGACTCCATCCTGAATCAGCAAGCTGTCCCATTGGGCCCAATAGCTTTTCGTGGTTGAACTCATCGCTGAGACGTCCCTCCACTTAGGCTTGGTAGCACGGGCCTTCATCCATCCCAGAATCGGCTTGATGTCCGGATTTTCCTGCTGTGCATGTCGTAGGCTGTCCTTCCACCCGTTGCTGAGGTGGTCTGTCCTGAGATACATTGTTACTTTCTTGCCTACTACAATGGTTGCAATCTTCAGGACAAGGTCTTCTTGTCAATTCATCTGCGTTGCCGTGAGATTTCCCCCCTGCAGTGTCTGATAGTAAAGTCGTATTCCTGCTGCTGCTGGGCGGTGCTGTTAGCCGCACTTCCTTTCTGAGACCGTTCACCTTCCCTTCCTAGGGTGTGCTTAGGGCAGCTGGACCGAAGATGGCCCCTTTCCCCACAGCCATAGCACCTAGGGCTGTATCTTTTATTGTGGTCGCGAACCGTAACTGCTGTAACCTCCCTAGCGTGAGGTGAACGATGATCCTGTCGCCGCCAGGCAGTGCCGTTAGCTGTACTACCCTCTCGAGATCGATCAACTCTCCTTTCCACGGTTAGTTTAGGGCAGCTGGATCGAAGATGGCCCTTTTCCCCACAGCCATAGCACCTTGGGCTGTATCCTTTGTTGCGGTCGCGAACTGTAGCTGCTGCAACCTCCCTGACGCGATGGGAACGATGATCCTGCCGCACGGCTTCCACTTCCAGTGCATGGGCCAAGGCGTCCTTAAGCGTCTCGTGGTGCCCGAGCCTCACAGCAGCTCTGACTTCCAGGTCGCGGATGCCGTCGATGAATGTCTGCACCAGGTTCCCTTCAATGAGCGCAGGTACAGACCGGTATGCTTTTCGCACCAGCTTCTCCACTTCCAGAGCCCACTGCTGCAGGTTTTCGTTGATGCGCTGCACACGATCTTTAAGCTGCGCACGAAAGACGTGTTCCAGGTGAGCGTCGCCATATCTCGCCTCCAATGCCTCAAGGAGTTGCTCATAAGTCACTTCCTCACCGAGAGCTTCCAGAACTGTTAAGGCCTGGTCGCGCAGGCCTAGTGTGAGAGCAGTCATGGCCTGACTTTTATTCCAGCCGTTCGCCTTCATAACAGCCTCGAACTGGATTTTGTAGGCTGACCAGGAAGAGGTCCCGTCGAACGGCGGCACTTTGAATCCACGTAGCGAAGGTGTTGTAGCTACTACGGGAGCTGTTGTTCCATCTCCAAGTTTGAGTTCGTCCAGTGATTTCTTCATGTCGGCCATTACGTTGTCAACCCGATTGTTTACTTGGTCGATTCGGGTTTCAGCTTTCTCGATTGGTCAGCTTTCGCGATTTGGGTTTCAGCTTCTGACAGGCGGTTGTCATGCTGAGCAACCCTATCCTTCACCTCCTTTATCTCCTTCCCGAAGGTAGCGTGAAGGTCCTTCATGAGGAGCATCTGTTCCTCCTGTCGGCGGGCCTGTTCCTCTTGTCCGCTCTGCAGCTGCTCTTTCAACTGACGGACCTCTGCCGCCTGTCCGCTCGCAGCTGCTCCTCAACTGACGGCGAGCCTGCTCCTCCTGTCGGCGAGCCTGCTCCTCCTGTCGGCGAGCCTGCTCCTGCAGCATCACCATCAGAGCACCTAAGTCAGGTGCTGCAGATGTAGGAGCTACCGACGGGCCTGCAGCCGGTGGCTGGCCCTCCGACGTCTGAGGCGTTGCACCACCAAATCTTCGTTGGTCCGTCTCCTGCTGGCGTTGACTTCGGGTACGGACACCCTCCGTTTCCTCCTTAGGTAAAATCGGCATTATTTTATCCCACTTCTGACACCAATTGTTACGAGCTTAGGGTTCGTGACAATAAAAATTGCCAATAAAATTACCTAAATTAACACTTTAATTTACTTTACACAAATTAAAACTAAAAACACTAATAATTAAACACACTAATTCACTTAATTCCGCTCCGAAGCTTGGCTTGTGTCGCCGAGTTCAACTCTGCCCGATCGCATCTTGCAGCGCCTACTTATATAAATTAGCAAAATATCCAGAATGTTCAACTATAACACGCGCAAGGTACCGAGAGTTCGAGTTTTAAACTTCAAGAAGTTTAGTTCTTTGGTTCGAGACTAGATGGCGCTAGTGCGCCGATTTTAGCGCGTAACAATATAAAGGTTTTATCGTGTTTATATTTGTAGCCTATTCAGAACTTCTGACGTTTCGATTGATAAATAGCACTCATTCGTAGTAACGTCCGTGTAGTGGCGGCTTTAGAGAACCTACAAGGATTATTTGAAGTAGACAGCCGTATGTTTATGTAAGGGGTAGCATTCATGTAAATATGAAGAAATCCGAGCTCACTGAAATCCAGCTAGTGTTGGCGACAGTAAAAAATTACAATATAATATTCAATAAAGGTAAAATTCGTATAGAATTTGGTTACATTATGAAGAAAATAATGATGGTGATTGTAGCGGCGCTGTCGTCGCGCCACAAGCGAAACACACCGAAGCCTAAATCACGCTGTCGAAATTCCGAATCATAAACAGTATATATAGAACATCTACGAACTATCACACGGAGTGTTGGCCGCTCCCCGGGCAAAACACCTTGCCCGGCGGGAGATCTCCCCTTTTCCTTCCACGGCCACAGTGGTGACCCCAACGTGATCTGAACACGCAACCAACAACCTTCGGAAACTTCAAGCTTCATCATCGTCATAGAGTAGGTATCCCACCCATTCGCTCCCGAGCAGATATCGTCTGCAGTCTTCATATCCTGCAAGGCATCTAGCTTCACAAGGTTCATCGCAGCACTGGAATAATAATGCTTCCTGTTCCTTCAAGCTATACTCTGCGCTATATAGACTTCGGCACGGC